ATCTTCAGAACGGTCCAGATGATGTTTGCGTAGGAGAGAATCACCGTCACCAGGGTGACCACCAAGGTCACAACTGCTAAGATAAAGTCAGCCAGTTCCAGGAGTCGTGTGTCTGAGCAGGATATTTCTTTGAGAGGTCCATAGTCACAATAATAATGATTCAGCATGTTGGAGGCACAGAAATCCAGTTGACTGGTTAGGACGATTGGGGATACAATGATGAGGAATCCCCCCAGCCAGGAGCAGAGAACCAACTGGATGCAGACTCTGTTGCTCATGATGGTCGTGTAATGCAGGGGTTTGCAGATGGCAAAGAAATACTGAGTGAAGCAGCCAGCAAAGCTGATGCTCCTGTTTCCGGTTGAGATGCTGAATAGTAGCCTAGGAGTAAAAGGGGTTGTAAAGAAAATTTCTAGGAAGGAGAAGTTCCAGAGGAAGAAATACATGGGAGTCTGGAGATGGGAGTCCAGTAGCGTGAGGGTGATGATTGTCAGGTTACCTAAGATGCTGAATACATAGGTGAGGAAGAGAAGTATAAAGATTACAAATTGAATCTCTGGAATGTCTGTCAGTCCCAGCAGAATGAATTCTGTCATATAGGTGTGGTTTCTCATTGCTGCCCTTTGCTGCCTATGAAGGTACAAAGGAAAGAAGTCAGTGATGAGAACGGAAGAGGAGCCCAGGAGCATTTAGAAGAGGTTAAGCTTTTCTTGTTGAATTGGTTCAAATGCCTTTTTTTCCTGTCATTTTGACGTGGATGAGGTTTTCTATGGGACAGAGGGTGACTCGTCACGAGAATGATTTCCCTGAAGTCTCACGTGGGAGGGTGTCCTCCACGGCCCCTTCTCAGGCTCCTCCTCAGCTCTCCTAGCCTGTCTTCTAAACCAGTGCCTACGTGATCTTTTTCTGTTTTCTATTTTTATTTCCATTTTGAATGATAGCCCTAGTTTTGCTCTTTCATTGCTTCTGCTCATTTGGCAGTGACACCTCATTCCTGTAACTTTCTTGTTCTCTGTGTGAGAAGGAAAGCTCACCTGTTAGCTGCAGTTGAGGAGCCTTTAGGAGGGAATCAGCAATGCTGTTGTAACTGTGGTGACCAAAGATGGCCTAACTTCCCTTTGATGTTTTTGAATTTGTGGACCATTGTAACTAATATTATCAGTCTGTAAA